ATATTTTTTTTCTCACTCCTGTGTTTGGACACAAACATTTTATAATCTGCTGACTGATTAAAAACCGTTCTGCAGAGGGTTCAGGATCAGGACTGGTTCTGATCAGCTGGAACTTTGTGGCTGTTTGCAGAAGTGGTGCGTTCAGGTTCAGATCAAAAACACTGTAAAGCAGAGCTGCTCACATGGAAGACAACTGGTCAAAGAAACATCACAGGTTTATAAATGATGCTTTAAATGTAGATATTTAACTGAGGGTGAGCTTCTTCTCTGAGCTAACAACAGACTGTTAAATGGTTAAATTCAAAATGTCCACTAAAGCTTTCCTCTGCTCTTCTCATGGATCAGTTATTGTTGTGAAGTGGTTTCYGACTCTCGTTCTCGTTGAGCTAACCTAACTGAGTCAGAAAATATTTCCTGTCTTCGTTTTCCATCACAAACAGCTTGAAAAGCCCACAGAGAAGATGGAGAGCTAATGCTGAAGGTGAAGCACAAGTAAACACCCACTCTGACCAAAGGAGGACATGTTGGCTGTTATTCCAGGTGGACCTCAGCTCCAGTTCGTTTTGTAGAAGAGAAAATTGTGACATTGGCCAGTTTTCACAAAAAAAAAAAAGTTGATTATTCTGCGTGTGTGAGCGCACTCACTGTCCTGACCTGAGGGGAAATGGATTAATGTTCGAGCTGCCAGAGTCAACTGCTTTTACTGAGAGAAAAACACATTTTTCATGAGACAGAACAAGAACAGGACTCTGGGAGCGAGGGAACGCAGGAAATCTCTGCTGTGATACCTGGGGTCAGATTATCACCAGCATCACTCAGATGTTGAGCTGCTTCGTGTTGTTGGTGAGACAAAGCTTACACCAAGTCCAACCACGCAGATCCCTTCTTCCTCCTTACTGGAAACACTTTCCACCGCAAAACCCTGTACAAAAAAAAAACTCTCCTGTTCAAATCATAGTCTGATCCTTTTCTGCTGGCCTCCAACATTTACACCGGCCCGCTGACACATGAATGTTTGTTTGACAGAGGATAAGCCTCATCAATTTACTCCCTGAATCCCACATCTCAGTCCATCCAAGACCATCTCTGACTCTCTCTCTCTCTCTCTCTCTCTCTCTCTCTCTCTCTCTCTCTCTCTCTC